CCTGCAAAGAAACTCAGCTGGACCGGTCCTTCACCAGAACTCTCGTCTGGACTGCAGCCAGTGTTCACACAGAGCAGAGGTCTGAAGCCTGTCGTACGTGGAGCCACCATTTATATGTCCAGAACCAGTCACAGCTGTGTCAGAACAGTTCTGCACATGTTGGGTCCAGCTTGTTTTACAAATATATTTCACAATATTCTACTTTTTAATGATTTCTGGCCTCTAACTCTCTACTTCTAGCCCAGTAAGTCAAGTCCTTCTCATGTGTGCAGTATTTAGCTGCTCCCGTGTGATACCACTGATCAGCTCGGCAGAACTGCAGCATCGGGTTCTGTTCTGACCTGGTTTGAACTTCCTGTATGTCACCAATGCATCAGTCTGACATCTGACTGCTTTCCTGCATTTCTTCTGTTACGTCATGTTCCTTCATCTGAGCGGTACCTGGTCCAGGTTCAGGACGAATAAAGGTTAATGTCATCTGGTTCTGGTTCCATGGAGGACTGGATAACCGGAGAGGTGAGTAGAAACATGGCTGACATCACAAAACACACCTTTAAAGCCTTAAACGCAGCATCAGAGCTCGATTCAGTAGAAGGAGGAGGAGACGCTGCAGAGAAAGCAGAGGAGGAGGAGGAGACGCTGAGGGAGTCCAGAGCGCTCCTCTAATCCTGCTGATGCATTGATATCATTTGACATGTGACCCGTGTGTGTGTTCATCCACCACAGAGCAGGATTACACACACAAACGTTTTGTAAACGTTAGTGTTGTAGCTGCAGCAGCAGCTCTCCAGGATCCACGGGCCGGACCAACAGGACCGACCGACGGCTCATCTGGAGTCTCATCATGTGTAGTTTTATTTATTCGGTTATCAGATGTTCGCAGACAGAAGATAAACTGATGGTACGTCTGGTGTTTCCACGCAGGGCTTTATATCAGCACAACAATAAGGTGGCAGCATAAAGGTTTGCTTTAAAGCTACATTATAAAAAAATTAAGAAAACAAATAAAAATGAAACAAATAACAAAAAAGAAAAATAAATGAATAAAAATAAATGAATGAATAAATAAATGATCATGATTTGTATTATTGTATTTGTCTTTATATTTCTACTTTTATCAGCTTTTTCTTTCATGGATTCATTTTTTATTAAACTGCCACATCATTTATTTTTTATTTCATTTATTCTTCTTTTATTTTATTATGTTTTTATTGGTTTATTGCTGTAATCTGGAGCTCTCACTGCTCCGTAGAAACAGTGCGACAGTCTGGAGGCTCCTTTTAAGTTCTTTCAGGTTTGCGTCATGATTTCAGGAGCTCCTGCTGAAGGTGATCAGTTTTTGACTTTAATAAACATGAGGTCTGATGTCTCCTCCTCACCTGGACAAAGCCAGACTTATCTTTACAGGTAAACAGGAAGCATGAGGGTGTTCTGGTTTCTTCCTGGACTGAGGAGACTAGAAGACGAGGATTTGATTCAAACAGTCCAGATGTGGTAAATCTTTCTGGCTGTGGTGCTTTCTGAATGTGAGCTGTGTTGTCGCTGACGGCAGCCTCCACTGAGCTCAGGCTGGTGCTGCTGAGGCCACGGAGCAGCAGGCTTTATGTAACCCAGTTGGCCCCAGACCCTGCTGAGGTTAAGTGGGGACGGGCCATTACAACACACACACACACGCACACACACACACACACACACACGCACACGCACACGCACACAGCCACACACACACACACACAGCCACAGAGTGGAAACTAGGCTGGGACGTCCTGTTCGCTTCTGCCCTCTCAGCCAATCACGGCTCAGTTCTGCTGCACAAACTCTCCAGGCTGTCGCCCCGAGTAACTCGCACCGACTGAGCTGCTGACGCCGAGTGTGTGCGAGAGTGTGTGTGTGTGTGTGTGTGCGTGTGCATGAACGTTACACAGCTCAGATATGGGATGTAATATTCATCACAACACCGAGCAGCCGGCTGCTGCACAGTCAGTCAATATGTTACCGTGGCAACGCCGAGGAGGATGTAAAGGACTCCCGGTGATGAAATGATCCCACAGCGTGTTTCATAACAGAGTGATGCGAAGGCGTGTCCGTGTCGTGTTTATGTTGTGAGTCGACGTGTACAGACGCGTGTAAACGTGTGTTTGACTCGTTAACTTCAGCTGATGTGCGTTTGTTTACTCACAACACAAAGTCCTGCAGCTCTACAGAAACAACAACAACAGGAAGAACCGGACGGAACCAGAAACGTCTTCTGAGCAGAACAGAAAAACTAATTTTTAATCATCATCATTTTCTTCAAATTACAGAAACTATATGTGAAATAATTTATGTTTTAATTTAAACAGTAAAAATGATGTGATTTCCTGCTGAAACATAAAAGATAAAAACACAGACCGTCGATGTGGAGGAAGTTTGTAAAGTTCAGTTAACTTGTTAAATCATCTACTGATTATTTTATTATCATATTACCGTAATGTCTGGACTAGAAGCTCCTACTTCTTTCACACGCTTTGAACGCTGAGGCTTAAACAACGATGAGGATAATTTATGGATTTTTATGAATTCACCTGGAGACCAAAGTGATGCTGAGAGCGACGACGACAGAGAGACTGAGGAAGTGATGAAGTGATTCTGAGGCTGTTCAGCTCCTGAAGACACTGAAGAAGACGACTTTAGTGGTTTCAGTGCAGGAGGAAGATGAAGATAGCCATCAGTGACTTTTCCTGGTAGCTGCTGGAGTTTTATTTCCTTAACCAGCCGTGTTACAGGAAGTGTTCAGAAAAAAGCCTCTACGGTACGTATCTGTGTGTGTTACCGCTACGCATTTAATTAAAGGTGAAACATCTCAGCGTGGACACCTGCAGCTTCTCGTTCTGACGACATCAGCAGCGTGTTCAGAGGCTGCTTCCTCCTGACGGGTAAAGAACGGTGCAGGAACCAGAAAACGCCGGCAGCTCTGTGCAGAAACACTTTGCATCGACAGAATTTAATATTCTGGTGCAAAGTATCGTCTTCCAGTCGGACATATCGGGTGAGCAGCAGCTGTGAGCGCTGGAGCATTCAGACACCGACAGGAACATCTGCAGTGCAGCCAGACGCAGGACAGGAAGTCCAAGCCAGCAAACACAAAGTCTAAGATCAATATATCTCCTCAGCTTCATGTTTGGTTTTTGTGGTTAAACTGCCAAGTCGTCATCTGTCACATTAAAATGACGGCGCCGATCGATCAGCTGATCGACAGATCGATTGTCTTTGATCTGTAAGAACCAATGCTCTCCTGAATGTTTGGTTTTGTCCACATCAACGGCCCAACAAGCAGCTTCTGGTTTCAACCTCCGAGTCTGTGACGATCTCAAAACACAGTTATGTGGATTTTCACAATAAGAGCCCTTAAATAAACTAATTCATACACATCCTGTCTGTTCAGAACGACGAGAGCACGACGGACAGAAATCCCCTCACATGACGACAGTGTTAAAGTCAGGCTGCAAAACCCACCACAACTTTAAAACAACAACAACATCAACATCGACAACAACATCGACAACAACAACAGCATCAACAACAACATCAACAACAGCATCAACAACAACGAGCCTCGGAGGTGATCAATCAGCTCGTTATAACTTTCGAGGAAACAGCAGCTGATTCTGAGAAGCTCAATCAATGAGCCAATCGGCTCCCTGCAGCCCGCTGACCTACAGTAACCTTTGACCTCAGAGGAAGGTCACGTGTACCTGTGAGCACACCTGGACGAAAGCTGCTCCAACCTCCATCATGTTGTGTGTTTCAGTGACATGTGTGAGCTGTGAGATGACTGTACAGTGATGGGGAGGTTCTGCTGGATCTGTCCAGGAGGTAAATCAGAAAATAGAAAAAAGCCAAAACGTTTCTCAACTGAACTGATTTTTTTTTACTGTGAAGCTTTTGAGTGATAAAAACCAAATTAGTAGAAAACCCAGCATGAGGCGGTAAAACATTAAAACATCCACAGAAACCAGAAACCTGATCAAATAATGACAAATAGATTACAACATAATGATATCGTTAGAAGTTTAAAACAGATTAAATCTGTGATTCTACAGTCACACGTTGTGAAAGAACAGATTATTATTTATGTAAAACTACAGACTTTTAAACATTGTTGACAGCTTTGGGTTTGTTTTTTAGACGGTGAGCATTTAAATAAATACTTTAAAGTTTAAATACTGATTTACTTCTTTTTTAATACCTAATAAATAGAATTTTTACAGGAAACAGCTGTGAAACAACAGGACTGTTAATTAATATAACTGCAAAAAACAATCACTCTGTGGGATTTTATTGTCCAACGCTGTAAAAATAAAACTTAAAAAATGACTATTTGTAAAAATCCAGTTTCTGAGGAGGAGAATTTTTACAGTTTGGTCTGTTTTTAACGAGTTAACGTGTAATTAATCCGGTTTTCTGTGACTTTAACAGTTAATTTAACAAAATAGAAAAGCAGTCCCTACATGAAGGATGCTGGTTGTTCACACATGACAGCTAAACACTTGTTCTCAGTGTCAATCCTCTGGTCTGCTCCAGTGCAGGAAGGAAAGCAGATGATCCGCTACATGAGCTGATCAATATCCTGATCAGCTCATGTAGCGGATCAACATCCTGATGGGGGTAATAACAGGTTAACTGCTCAGCCATCAGTCTTCCTGTTCTCTCCTGGTTCTGGCTCGTTCTGCTGCATGTGGAACAAACTCTACGTGGTTGTATTGAAGTCTGATCAGGGATCGTTAACCTGATTGGATCCCATCAGACGGATCATCATGAGAGCGGTTCTCTGTACGTATGGAGCAGCAGGAACAGCTGATTCCCTCCTTTCAGGGGCTGTTCAGTGGCCAGACGGTGCAGCTTTAACTCAGCATATGAACGCTGTGAGCAGACCCTCCCTGTCCTGCCTGAGACCTGCTGATGGAGGAAGCAGAGCGACAGCAGGAGCAGAGAGGAGTAACCACTGCTGATGTTCTTACCTTCGACTCAGATCTGCGACGTGCTCCTGAAGCCAACTGCTGCTGGCCGCTGGGGAGGAGGAGAGAGAGAGAGAGAGCGGCCTTCAGTGCACATCATATCAATCACCACCATGCAGCACAACAACAAACACAGAGCAGCAGCACAAAGACTTCACCGGAGTCTCCTGGAGAGCACCCAGCCATGAGTCTGATCACCCACCATCGGTCCAGGACCAGGTCTGTATTATTGATTATTAGCATTCAAGAGGACCAGTAACTGATAATGTCTGTCATCCAGGTCAAAGTGATCCTCAGAGCTTCAGCAGAGAGCTTCTATCAGGTCTACACAGAGCCTGCACAGGGATCACATCCCAAACCCTGTAGGGAGACCTGCAGCAGGTTCTGAACCACACTGAGCCGCCTGCAGCTCCTGATCAGTCAGACAGCAGTGAGATACAGGGTCAGAAGCACACCTTTACACATGGCACATGGGAGCAGCTGGACTGATGGACAACGTGACTGATGAACCGTCGCTGCTCTCATCAGGCTGACCAACGTCTTACGGTCTTCTCTTCAGATTGTAGGTCATGTTCTGTGTGTTTTAACTGTTCGTTAAGCAGTTTGGAACTGGTATAGAAATAAAGTTTGTTAATATTCTGATTATTTGATGTGAAGGAGTCATGACGGTAACGGCGGCTGCTTTCTGATCCACCACCATGATAGTTGTGTTCTTGTGGAGGAAAAGTTTTTCAAGCAACAGAAAAGTTTGCGGCTTCAGATGACGACAAGAAAACAAAAAAAGTTACTGATTTAATCTATAAAATGTCTGATCAACAATTAAGAAGCCAAAAACTCATTTTTAAAGTCATATACTAGGAGCTAAATCAGACAATCTCACATTAGAGCAGCTGGAAGCAGAAGAAGACGGAGTTTTGTGGCTGATTATTAACTATTGCTGTAATTATCCTTCTGGTGTCGTCTCAGTGGAGCTCAAGTCAGTCAGTAAAGGTGACTTTCTAATTTACCACAGTGATAGTTATGTGCTTGTGCAAAGGAAAGTTTTTTGAGCAATGGAGGTTTCAGATGAAGGCAAGAACACAAATCACATATTTGGTCCATAAAATGTCATAAAACAATAAAAAAAACGTGATCACCACTGCAGAGGAACTAAATCTCTGATCACAATCAGACACCAGCAGCTCAACCAGATCATTCTCCCATCAGAGCAGCTGGAAGCAGACAGACGGACCTCTGTGGCTGATTATGACCCATTGCTATGATGATGCTCCTGGTGTCAGAGGAGGAACCTGATCAGGAAACTTTGTGAGACGACTCTGAGGTTTGAGACGAACACGCTTCTCGCTGAGCGCTGATGAAACGTGAAGCCTCAGCTGTTCCTCTCCACAGCTGCCTGCGTCCTACAGAAGCGCCAGCGTCTGGAACAGACTAAATTCGGCGCCTTCGCTCACATTTCTTTTGTTTATTGTTGTTTATTTTTCCGAGCTGATTAGTGGGTCTGTAAACGGAGGCGGGCCGTCTCCTCCGTGATGAGGGATAAAAATATCGCCCACTCGTCTTTAAAAAAAGATAAGCGCTCGCGCTCGGCTGCGCCGTCCCGGGTTTTAATGCCGGGCGACAGCGCCGGGCCCGAAGGCACTGCGTCGGGTCAAAGGCCTTCACATCCCATCCTGCTCAGCACACAGCGAGCACGTGTGTGTGTGTGTGTGTGTGTGTGTGTGTGTGTGTGTGTGTGTGTGTTGGTCTGCAGCGAGGTGTGTGTGCTCTGTT